GTTCGCCCATGCAGGCTCAGACCCACCCGTCTACACACGGCTGTAGGTTATTGAGGTTCAGCTCCAGCCCATGGCTTCTAGAAGGCTCAGCTCCTTCCGAGGAGTTCAGCCCACCGGGAGCTTGTCTTATCTTTGAGCCTTGTTGTTTTCTTGACATAAATGGATCCCAAAGAGACAATTAGCAGTGAGCTGTGGACTTTCAGATTGCGTGAATGGTCTGTGAACTCTTTGCTGACTCGGCCTGTGCATTTCTCTCCATGTGTAGACGTGGTCGTGAGTAGCTGAGATGCAAATATTGTTTTTCCTCAGTCTGCCACAGGCTGGGTGTTCCGCAGCTGAAACAAACAGTTGAGTCTTAATTTTCCAATTAAGCAGCTAATTAGAGCCACGCTCAGGAAATCTGGCTAAAAAAAGCTGAGTGAAATATATCACCAGTCATGTGAAATTGGTGAAAAGGGAAGTTTACAAATGAGAGGATTATGAAGGAAGAGTCCTCTGTCTCTGCTCTGCCTGCTGCTTTTTTTTTTTTTTTTTTTTTGTCACCATCTGTAAATTGAACTTCTGTGTTCTGTTTCCCACAGTCGGATGATTTTATGTCTTCTCGCTCAGAGTTCAGCCTCACGCGGTTATTATCCAGCTCTCTCACTCAGTCCGACCCCATCATCCCAGTCATCCATTTTCCTAGAAAGCTGAATAGGCTGCAGCCGGAGCTCAGACTGTCTGTGATGCAGCACTGCCGTTGGCATCTCAGTGAAAACACTGAGCAGCTGCAGGCCTGAGCCCTGCCTCACTGTGTTCTGCTCCTCTGCATTCTCTGGGCTTCACAGTGCTGTTCAGCCTCACTGAGCACACAGCAGGAGGACGGAAACTGGGACGTACTGGGATCAAAATGAAAGCAGAGCTGCTGGCTTCACCCCTGACCCGTCTTCTCTCTCCACAGGTCTGTAGTCTCGGGAGCCAATCAGGGCTGGGCCCCTGTCTGGAGTCTGGACTTCTCACCTGAATCTGGATGTTTCCCCTTCATTGATTGGCTCTCCTGTGAAGCTGCTGGTGATTGGACGGCCCTGAATTCAAGGTACAGAGTGATCGTGTTTCTCCACACTGTCCACTCATCTACTTTTCTGTTTCACACAGTATTTGTGCAGCTCTTTTTTTTTTTTTTCCTTAAAGTCTTAATACTGGTCCTACTTAGAATGATATAAATAAGGACTTTTAATTGAAGTTTGAGTATAATTTATAGACAGACTAATAAAGGCACATTTATTTTACGCGGCCTAAAAGCTTTTTTGCATCCTTGCCTTAGAAGGACCTTTAAATTGAACATTTAAGGGATGTTTTTCTCAAAAACTATCAATTAAAAACTTCTATATCAAAATCAATTAATCTGTTAATTTATTAACTTTGAACTGGGGGCAAACACCTGAATTTGCACTTTGAATGAGCACTTAAGATTATTTTAAGGTACGAATTAAGCAGTATCTGTAATCTAAACATGTAATGTCTGGCCATTAATGGGTTGTCTACATGGATAAAGACATTAAATAGTTTTTATGCCTTACAGAAGGCCTCAGTGTATGCAGAAGCTCATTAGAAAAATCTACAATTCATTAATTTACCCAAGTCTGGTGTGAACCCAGTTAATACCTGAATCTCCCCTGTATCTGAAAGTGCTTCTGAAAAAAAAAAATCCTGCATAAAAATACTTATTGATATATTCCTTAAATTGTGCTTTGTAGGGACCTTAAGGGGCTTTGATATTTAGGTTTGCTGAGGAGTTTTCACCTTTTCAAATTAATGGACAATTTCAGGATCTCTGGCTTCAGCTCGCTGTGCTGAGGCATGTGGCTCACGACTGAACTAAACAGCTGAATTTGAACACACTGTCACAGTTTGTGTCTGTTGCTGATTATTATCTTTGGATTTAATGGGTCATCAGTAAATCACACCCATAAATAAAGTTCCTGAGGCTTCAGATGAAACCAGATAAGACAAAGAACAAAAACAGAGCGATAAAGAGCAAATACAGTGGGTACGGAAAGTATTCAGACCCCCTTAAATTTTTCACTCTTTGTTATATTGCAGCCATATGCTAAAATCATTTAAGTTCATTTTTTTCCTCATTAATGTACACACAGCACCCCATATTGACAGAAAAACACAGAATTTTTGACATTTTTGCAGATTTATTAAAAAAGAAAAACTGAAATATCACATGGTCATAAGTATTCAGACCCTTTGCTCAGTATTTAGTAGAAGC